CCAACAACCTATAATAGGACAATATGAAGGTATCCTGAAGATCGGAGAAATTGAAACGGTGATCACAGGAGGAGCAGGAAGGACCCCAGAACAACTTGTTCTAGGATTAGAATTCCTTGAAAACCATAAACCATGTGAAAGGTTACAAGACGGAATGGAGTTTACAGTAAATGGACGAAGATATAGAATTTAGATGACAACTAGTCCATTCTCAATTTATATTTAAGTCGGAATATTATATGAATCATATAGGGCAGAATATTTTGCAGCCTATATTGATTCTGGAGCAGGCATTTGCACAGCAAAACCTGGAGTATTTCCAAAAGAAATAGGAGAGGACCTAACCCCTATAGCAGGAAGAGATTTCTCTAAAAGGATTCTTATCCTTAAAAGAGGAATTAAACAAGCAGAAATCATGATTGGCGGAGCCGGTGGTAATCCTTGGTATAAGGTAAAAACGCCACCAATCTATTTTCATGATACATGAGCAGATGTTTTGTTAGGAAATAATTTCCTACAAACTTTCAAAAGATTTACTCAAGAAAATGAGACAAGAAGACTTATTTTTACAACTGTTTGTGAACATAATATCATCGTCCAAAGGTTAAGAGAGGCATTTCATAGAAAAATGCCTATCACATTTCGCAGCAAGCGTGGTGATGAAGGAAAACTTCGACACCCAAAATAAAAGAAAGTACGGAGGAACAACCCTTCAGTTAAGAATCGAAAGTCTAGGAGGCTACGAGGAGGAAAGAATAAAGTTAGAAACCATTTAATTCCTAAAGGCAAGTCTAGACGAGAAGTTACAACCAGAAGTAACTCTCGAAGAGCAAATCTCACTAGAAGATACTAAAAGAAAAATCCAGAGAAATTTCAATGAAGATTCTTTAGCTTGGTGGGATAAAAATGAACTCAAGGCATCCTTAAAGGTTAAAGCAGGAAAAGAACATGAATTTGTGAGATACAAGCCCATCCTCATGAATCAAGCAGACCGTAAGGATATGCAAATAATACTTAAGGAACACTTGGACCTTAAGTTAATTAAAGAAGGAGTTTTTCCATATAGCAGTCCTGGATTCCTTGTTCGAAACCATGGAGAAATAAAAAGAGGAAAAGCAAGGTTGGTTATTAATTACAAAGTTATTAATAACATCTTAAAATTTGATGGATATTACATTTCGAGCAGAGAACATTTGGTGAATTGTATCAAGAACGCCAAGGTATTTTCAAAGTTCGATTGTAAATCAGGATTCTACACCACAAGGGCATTGTGTATGGAATGTAATGCCAATGGGGTTAGCAAATGCACCCCAGATTTATCAAAGAAAGATGGATAATCTTTTTAAAGATTATTTTAGTTTTATGTTCGTATATATTAATCATATTCTAATCGCCTCAAAGAACATGAAGGAGAATCTCAAACACCTGGAAATATTTTTAGATGTTTGCCACAAGGAGGGATTAGTGCTTTCAGAAAAGAAGGCAGTAATCACCACAAGACAAATTGAATTCCTTGGAATCGAGATTGATGAATCGAGAATTATTTTGCAAAATCATATTGTTGAAAAAAAAAAGGATTTCCAGATGTCCTCAAAGATAAAAAAAATTACAAAGCTTTCTTGGAGTTGTTAATTTTGCAAGAATGTTCATAAACAATCTGGCACAATACCGAAAGTTTTTCAGTCAGCTCCTGAAGAAAGATGCAGATTTTAGATGGACAAACGAACACGAGGAAGGAATTAAACAGTTAAAGAAAGTTTGTCAAAAACTTCCAAAGCTGGCAATCCCAAATGACAAGGATGAGCTAGTTCTTTATACAGATGCTAGCGATCATTAGTGGGCAGCGGTTCTCACCAAAGCCACTCTGAATGGAGAAGTTTCATGTCGATATTGCAGCGGACTCTTTACAACCAGTGAAGCATACCGATGGCATATTAACGAAAAGGAATTCTTTGCAGTTAGAAAGGCATTCAAAAAATGGCCTTTGTTTTTGTTATAAAGAAAGTTCACTTTAAAAATTGATAACTCAAGTGTTAAAGCTTTTCTGAATAACAAAATAGAATCAAAACCAGAAAAGTCCATATTATTACGATGGCAAGCTGAATGTCAATATTATGATTATGATATTGTCATTATTAAATTTCATGAAAATGTTCTTGCAAATTTCTTGACAAGAGATGGATGTATATGAAGCAGATGCACTCCTCAAAAGGATAAGACACCTTCGCGAAAACATCGAAGAGGTGGACAAAAGTTTTGGCCAGTTAAGGCTTAATGCCATAATAGCTGGACAAGTTCAAAAGGCCAACTTAGATAAGGTCGAATCAACAATCAAAGGTACAAGGATGGCTAACACCTTATTATGGAATGCCTTCCAAGAACCTTTACGCAAAGTTGGATCACCATCGGTGAGCCATAAAGAATTCTGAGAGCAAGATGTTTCAAAGAAAACTCAAAACGAGTACCAGGAACCTATACCTGGTGCAGCGGATGCTGCTTACGAAAGTATTTCTTCAGATTCTGGAGAAAAAGAGAAAGAGACACAAGACCAAAGGTCTAAAGTCTCGAGTCAACCAGACACCTCTGGGGTAAAAGAGGAAGAGATCAACCTACGACCACAGACAAGTCGAGAAAAGGTTGATACTAACAAAAACATTGGTTCTCCTACTTCTTTTCAGGTTTACAATTCATTGATGGAGGACTTAATTACGAAAAGAAATATTAAGCCAGAAAAGTTTATTGTTGACGATACTGGTTTATATCCCCGAGTTTGGGTACTGGAAGGAGCTCGACCAGACCCTGTAAGAAAATGGATGGACTTTGGTGCAATAGCTTCAATTTTTACTGAGGCACCGAATTTTCCTGAGATTTCAAGATTACCCAAGTGGATTACTAAAGTCGTATATGAATCTTGGTCTTATAATCTTCATCTAAAAAGAGGAGAAGTTTTGGAGCTAAAATTTATCTCTATTGCTCCAGAACCTGCAAGTGATTATGGAAGGCATGCCGCCTTTTATTTCATTGAGTTGCAGCGCCCCAACAAAAAAGCGCTACTTCATATCGGTACTACCAAGGAAACACCTCTATACACGGCAATAACAGAGGATGAGATTTCCACCCGACGAGCCTACGGAGTATGGGTGTGTCTTACCGAAATGGAAAAGGTAAAATATCCGTTTAAGATATATCAAAATTCACCAAACGGATCATTTTTACTTAATTCCTTGACGAGAAGCACCTCTGAGTTTGCAAACGACTTGTTCGAGAATAAAAGAAAATTCTTATGGGAAAACAAGTTGGCAGCCACAGAGAATACACGAAGAAGGGCGTGTAACATGTTGCACGGTCTTAGATGGCATGAAAATATATGTTCATGTTGTGCAATTCAAGAGAAACCACTGTTTGAAAAATTATTTCCGATGAAAAGGAAAAGACCCGACCAGAAAGACAAACCAGAGAAAAAGGAGATTCCAAAAAACCGGAATTTCAAAAGTTCAAAAGAAGACGAGTCTGATTAAGCTTTAGACATGGAGGCCCACCAACAAATTAATGGTGGGACAAGGGAAAAGGAATGATTCCTTCACCAAAGGTAAAGACAAGCTTTTCCGAGTCAGATCCACATACACCATGTGACCGACAGAGGAAAGTGGGTTCAATAATTCTTCAGCAGCCGGACCCATCAACATGTGAAGACAACCAGGCATTGTCCTACCGGTTGGGACAAGCAATAATAGAGGACTCCAAGACCTCTATAAATACAAGATTTGGAAGAAACAGAAGGCATCGAACATCCTCTTCAGTTTTCTCATCAAAATAAAATTCTCTGTAATAGTGTGTGAGCTTGACTGTCTTTTAATTTTCTTTGTAATTTTTATGTTTGTACGAGTGTTTGCCTCTATTATGAGAGGCTAAAAGGTTTTCTCCTCCCTTAAGGAGATTACTTATGTAATAAAATCACTTTGAGTTCTTAATAAAAAAAAAAGAGGCTTTTGCTTCACAACATGTTGTCGTAGTTTTAATCTATCTCCATAATTAAGTATTTGTACGCTTGGAGTAGGAAACAAACCAAGGTTGTGCTGAGTGGTATCTGAAGGAGTCGGATAACTTGTAGTTCATCTTCCCATTGGTGAAGTTAGACGGTGGGGAGCCGTCCGTGAAAGGAACTAGGGCAATAATTTTCCGACTGGCGGAATTGCAAGCCATCTCACCCGGAACTATTTTGGTCAAAAAAGGTACGAAAATTATGGAGTTATTTAATTTTACGGAAACATGTTGGGTCTGGTATTGTTCATTTTATGGTGGGTACTCTTTAAGTGAAAAACTCAGGTACAAAAACTAGGTACTACCTATTAATAAAGTTGGTACTATTTTCTTATTAAAGAGGTACGAATCCAAAATAAATTGGTACTAATTTTTTGGACTTGAATAAATATATGGGTATTGTGGGAATACTAGAGGGTTATTATTTTATTGCAAGTGGGAAGGAGTAAAGTGGAAGAAAATTAGAGGTATGGACTGAATTGAAAATTGAAAAGGGGTCTAGATACTTTTATAAAATTAGCCTGTATATTGAATACATGTAAACTACTTGACAAGAAACGGAAAAAAAAAAATCTTAATCTAAAAATTTCATTAAAATAAAATAACGAGTTAGTAAATTAATAATTTTATGAATCTTTAGAATATTATGAAATTTTGTAAACCTTAAATGATATATATGAAATTAAACTATTATATTTCACGAATAAATAAATAAATAAATAAATAAAATATTTAATAATATTATATCATATAACGGTGCTATTATAAGAAGAAAACGAAGGTAAGGATAAATTAAACTACCTATTAAATATGCTTTATATGCTTTATGAAATAAAGCATATTGGTACACAAGTTCCAGTTCCAAGACTAATTTAACACCGCGTGTTGACGTGGACACAACTCGCCTTGCTGGCATCCTACGTGGCCATTCGCCAGGCGTTGCGGAAGCCGTTAAACGCATGTTCGGAGTAGGAAAAGCGTGGCGAGTCGAAAGATTTCGCATGCTCGCAGGCGCCAAGCACACATGAAAAGATAACCAATCAACACCCTCCACGTGTACATAAAAAGTTTAAAATAAAAAGGAAACACCCATGTCTGCCGCTGACGGCCCCCTTTCCTTCACAACATAGAATTGTATAAACTCGTAACCACCCGCGAATTAAATCTCCCCGCCCGCCGCGTGAGGCTGAAGAAAGATCACACACAATTTTCAGCGAGGCAGGGATGGATGCAAGCGGC